CCTGACAAATAGATACAGGAGATCAAATTTTCTCGAAAAATTGCTTCTAGAACAAGAATCTGCATGTCGCGATTAAAATCATGCAGAAGAAACACGAACCACAACGAATGATTTTGGAACAGCAAATATTATTCACTTTGAAAGGCAGGCCAGAATTTCCACAGCTGGTATACTCTAGCTTCCAGTATCATTCAGTTTTTTCTTTTCTCGATGTATGTTGGCCTAATATTGAGGGACAATTATTCCAAGACTACTAATCTTGAAACGAATCTGGGTTCTCTTATAAGATTTTGAAAAAAAAATCCCAGTATGTCGAAATTGACGTCGGTGACGTGTCATAAGACGCTTTGGAAAGAAGCAGTAGAGAATGGCAAGGGCAGTCATCACCTTTGATGGACAGTCATCACTTTTGACTGACTGTCCTTGTCATATGCAAGGAGAAGGGCTGGAAGGCATAAGGCACGATAACTTGGTACACAGTCTAAAATGGTAGCAAAGTGCTACATAGTGGGGAAAATAGTGAAAGAGCGAAGTGGGACTGTCAGCCAGCAAAAAAGCCTCTGTTCAGCACGACCAGGAAGCAACTTCGGACGAGTTCCCGTTGGCATCGTGCCAATAACCGCTACAGTAGATACTGCTACATGTATGGCATGAGGCGATACCAGCGTCAGCATCGGTCGGGCATTTGTGAGCGGGCGGGCGCGGTGGGGGTCCTGGTCAGTATGTTGCAGCTTGATAGGCGCTGAAAGGGTACCTTCCTTGGAAAGCGCGCCACGCAGCGCCTGCTTAGAGGCGCCCGAATTCTGTCCTGCTAGTATCAAGCCTACATGTCTTGGGAACTTATCGTGCCACTTGCCTTCAACCGCTGTACAAGTGTGACACTTTCGCCACTTGGAAAAGCGCGGAGACGAGGCTAAAAGGGTGGTGAGATTTCGTTGCTGTTGCGTTTCTGCCCGTGCTGTCCTCAAGGTGTAGCGCTCACGTCGATATCAAAATCTCGCAGCGAACCTAAAGGCGATTCTCGCTTCTCGCTTCAACTTTCTGTTTTTCTTCGCGCTTTCACGTCTGCATGAAGTGGTTTGACCACTGTAACCTTAAAGATTCCAACTTCTCCCGCATAATAAGCTCGTCCGCATGTTGGATGTCAAGGTAGCGGCAGTCCTTGACTTCTGTGCTCACTGACCCATTCATGCCCCCGGGACCATCTGCAGAAGCTCGAGTGGTTGCGTAACCTTTGGCTGTGCTTAGGCATGTGGTGTGGGCATGTCACGTGTCTGCGTGCTTCATGGTCGAGTACTCAATCGGCATCGTACTATCGTTCCCTTCTTCCACGTTTCGGCGCACTTCTGAGCGGAGAAAGCGGTACCTTACTGGGGTTGCGGAACCCATCTCACTTCGCACGGTAAAAATCAGGGTTTCAGAGGTGAGCGTACACTTTGCCTCATACGTATGTCCCGTGCTCACTTCATGTTCAGGCACCTTTTTAGCAATGGCAGAGCTGCCTGCAAGTATGGAGAGTGTACTGATTTCGCAGCTTAGAGTACGTGAGAAAAGCGCTGCTCGCTCGCGAGAGAACCACGGTCCCGCACACAGATAACGATGACGCCTAAGTTTCCTTTGTAAAGATTCCCTAGTGGTGCGGTTGTCCGCTTAGCTCTCACCATTTCCAGTGGCGAGAGTGAGGTGAAAAGGAGGGAGAGCTAGCACAAATAAGTGAGGGCAAAGACGCCTTTGAACGAACAACTGTGTTACAAGGGTCGTGGCTACATTCGTTGGTACGAGGAAACACCATCACTATAGTGCAGGCAAAAGAAGTGGTGTGTGATAGCTGGGGAAAAAAGGATCATTGGGTGAATCACTAGTGTTTTAGTCGCGGGATAGCGCTCGTTCTAGCAGAGTAGTTCTTGGCTAGTTGACTTGACGCAACCAATACCGCCACTTCGAATCCATTGCGTCCTATTGCGAATGCTGCGTTTGTACGGCCTCTTTCGCTGCGCTACTGAGACTCGAGAACGAGGGCTAAAACACCATATCCCGAAAATAGGGGAGGCATGGCTGTGTTTCGGACGTGATATTTTCGTTTTGGAACAAACATAATAATGCCTTTGTCCAGCATAGAGAGGATGACAGCTGTCTCGACAGGGAACGGCCCGAAAACGAGTTCTGCCATATGTCCGAATAAAAAACGCCCACTTTATTTCTGGGATACAGTGTGTACATCCCAGTTTTTCGAAAATACATCAAAGTAAAGTGAAATAATGGTTCTCATCAGCTATACCTAAAGTTAGACAGTTTTCACTTATTCTAGTATGGAAGTGGTTCTTTCGACGACTATATGTTCATCGTAATGGAACTATTAGGGAAAAGCTTATCAGAGCTCCGAAAGAAAAGTGATGGCAAAAAGTGAGTTTGTTGGGTTTATGCTGTCTACGAGACCACTTAAGTTTTGGATAAGAGCCATATAGTTGGCATTTAGCCCTTGTTGTCCTGTTGATCGTCGGGTGTCTTAAAGGCACGGTCCGCGATCAGGTATCGAAGTTGAAAATATGGCGTCAGGAGGTTAGAGTGGTCCGCGACGAACAACCTTGTACCGGTTTCGCGGCAAAAATTCTATGGGAGGGGCGCTGTAGCGCAATATAGGTTCAGTGGCTCCAGTGACTCCGCCTCCAGACCCCGCCCTAATGCCCGCTTCTAATGAAATAGAGTCACAGGACGAAAAAAGCACGATAATCGCCACTTGTACGATCGTAGAGATCTTATCGGTGAATCAGCTGTGCATATGAGGGCGTAGTTTTGGAGATAGAGTTGATTGGGCACGTACAAACTGGAATCGGAAATGGGTTCTATCTAGGGCAGGTGGCATGTTTTTTGTGCTTTTTTTTGTTCACAGTCGAGTTACTCAACCCCTTGTCGTCAATATGGAGCCCCTAATCACCATCTTGAGCATGTATCTGCGAATAATCGCGGGTTCTGACCCTTCAAACGAGCACTACAAAGTCCCATTAGCCCCCGCTTCGCGCCACAACTTGAATTCTGAGACACGAGGGCTTTCGAACTCCTTGAAAAGCAACTTCTTATGAAAACGGGTTAATCATCGAGCGCGCTATTGCTTTCATGTGTGATTGGCAAATGCATATGAAAAAGTCGCAGTGTGGCATCGTTGAGCTCGGAAATAATGTGGGAGGTTAGAGGCCCTGTGAGTGATGTGTCCAAGCTATGTACGCTGATATTCCGGTCGCAATCCTGGAGAGCTGTGTCTGAGGGATGGAATTGGCTTACACCGACGTCCTCTTCTACTGGTTGCTTTCTCCCTAAACTGGCCGTTATTGGTAGGAAGCGCAAAAGCGGATGAGCCCCTTTCACGCCTCCTGGCACCGCTCCGCCGGAATGCGACGCTACCAGCTGCAGATGAGAAATGAACTAGGTTCATCCCCCTCCCCATCGAGAATAGCTTTAGAACAACTTGACCTGCAGAGGTGGCCATTGCGGTGACGGTGCCGAGAAAATGTTGCAGTGGTGACTCATCTTGGGAGAAGTCTTCATTCTAGGTTTGACGCGATAACGGCGCTACGCGTCGGTCTGTGCATGACAGATACATTGCGAGTTCTTCACGATATGGGCTTCCTTCACAGGTACGTCCTAATTACCCACAGAGTATTTTCTTCCAAAAAGTTCGAACAGGGATGTCAAACCTGGAAATATGTGTGTTGGACTTACACCAGAAACCATTCGAAGAATCTATCTGCTGGATTTTGGCCTTGCACGGCAATTCAAAGTTGTTTGCTTTGATATAAAGGTACTGCCCGCCAGGGATGTTCGAGTACTTTTACAGGAGAAAGGAAAGATTAAACGTCGTGGTCATGTCGGATTTCGTGGTACGCTTCGGTATGTGTCGCTGAATGTGCATGAAAGGAGAGATCAGGTGATTTTTGTAATGCTAAGTTAGGATACACGTCCCTCGTCAGGGGTAGCGTTTGCAGTGCCCTTGTGATGACTTAATATCGAATTTCTACTCGATGGCTGAACTGTCCGAAGGTAGCCTTCCATGGACAAGGTTGCGAGATCCTGAAGACATTGCAAGGCGGAAGAGAAACACATCATTCGAGGAATTATTCCCGTTAGTTAAGTTCGTTTTGGTTGTTATTGCGCACAAGTTGTCTATCCGGCTCAGAAAAAGCCTCAGAGAATAGGATGTTGGCCTACTGCGTTCTCACACGAGTTATACACAGCCCTCCCCCCCCCCTCCCCTTTGGGATTGCACTGGCGCCCTCACATGTAACTCACCCTGGGAAATAAGCTGCTGTATCATTTAGAGCCCAGAAATTTTGTTCTTCACACATGGTATCCGCTTATATTTACATTATGGAAGGCTCAGGCGGTTTGACGGGGACTGACATCGGGATTTCAATTTCAGACTAACAGCTGTTGTATAGTACGCTACGGACATACAGGGGGAGGGGGCAAAAAAAGTACATTTCGCACCCGAGTCTTTTATACAGACAAAGTTTCTCCCTCTGCCTGCTTCCCAGACAAGGGACTCGTTGGATACGAGGTCCCAGGGCGGAGACCTACCCAGAGATGCTTCATCGCACTACGCAGGAAGTGGCTCATCGCCCCCATCCCTTCATGACACCAAATATGAATTCATCTCATGTCGCAGCCTGACTGACTTGTGAATCTCATGCACATGTCACCTCCAAACAGCTGCGAAACTTCTAGTATGGAGTCACCCATGGATAGCTACCTGGAGACCAGTACTCTCGATCTGGAAGACCTCCAACATCGAGCAGCTCCGACAATGTCGCCACGGTCTAGAACATCGTCTTCACCGCAGGTCGCTTAGGCGCGGGTGGGATGGTATTGGACCGACGTACCTGAATGGAAAGACCGAATATTTCTTCGTGACCGGATGCAGTGGGTTTGAGCGCTGGCGGTTACATTGGGCAACTCGTGAAGAATATCCTCCTCAATGGTCGCCCGTACCTTCTTGGAAACTTTGTACTGCTACAGCATTGAGGGCCACCACATGAAATGAAGGGCATTAGAAACGCTCGACCTACTGCAGGCGAAGGGGGCTGGTAGCCTTAAAGCAAGAGGAATATCTAAATAGGTTCATCCATGACTGAATCCGCTCAATTCCCGGTTCGGGCGGAGTTCAACAGGGTGGTCTACGGTGGCGGAGAAATCGACTATTTCGCTGATCTCAGGCACCGCATCGCGGTCGCATGCCAGAATCTCTGATGGCTCGTCAGAACGACTGTGGCGGCAGTGTCATGATATATTTTGATTATGCTCTCAACTGTAGTTGGTACAAAAAGTCGATAAGGAATTGAATAACGTGCAACTTATAGCGCCTCGAAAGTCAATAAAGAAAGTGACTTCTTTTTTTTTGCCCCCCCCCTGTAGTGCCTGTTCAGCCTTTACTGTATCTTGAAGAAACAAGTCCGACATATGGTGGAGGCGGGGCGTCGTTGCGCCTTCCTCGACTCCCTCGTCGGCACATCTTTCCTCTTTGCCGTAGTAGCAGAAGGGACGCACAAATAAAAAACCCTCTATCTCTGCACATCCGGTCAGCGTGCAGTGTTCCTCCAAAGGCTATAATATGTATTGCCAATACCAGCAACATTCTCTGAACCAAATAGTTCCAGTAGAGACGTTGACCTCATTCGCTAGAATCGAAAGGAAGGAGAACGACAGGGACGCCAGTCGGAGCCAGCGAATGTATAAATTGTTGAATATTAATTCGATTTTAGGTTTAGCGGTATGTCGACGGAATTGCAGGAGTACTACACGTACTGCTATGATAATGTTGAAGATCCGAACCAGCCCAGCTATGACTTTCTCAAAGACGTCATCAAGGTTCTTAAATTTTCTTCAACTACCTCTCAAGCCTTTCGTTGAAGACGTTGACAGAAAGAGGAGCATCTTAGAGAAGTGAACAGCTTTTCCTTATAGAAAAGCTTTCCGGCTGGATTTGACTTCAACACTCCCATGCCTTGGGAGCTCAAGATGGGTGAGGCCACGATTGGTCCGGTGAGCCAAGACGGTGGTGAATGCGCAGAACACGAACCGAACAAGTAATTTTGTACAGCATCAGCTATTTTGAAACAATTCAAATTCTAATTGTGGTTGAGATCGTATACATGTCAAGCAGTCAAATTTCGCCAGCTCAAATAAAGATATAATGCTTTCCGTGTCTCACAGTACCAAGCGATCTCTAGTACGACAGTATAGCTCTTGTACAAAAAGCTCGCAGACAAGTTGCTAAGAATAAATTCAGAACGAATAAAGCATTTCAGTCGTTCATTGAGAGGGGTTTTACAAGGTCATGCCTGTTGTAATCAACCTTATTATACAGGGGGGATCACGAAAGACACTTCGGCCGAGTCACATATCAGTAAAGTTTTCGCAGCCCAGACAGAACACGTGGATACGAGTACCAGGGCGGAAGATACCCAAGATGTTCCTCGATGAAGCAGGAGCAGGCTCTCGTCCATCACCTTCATGTACACCAAAATATGAAGCCATCTCCAATCGCAGCCTGACTGGAGAAGGCCTTGGAATTCACGTCACCTCCAAACAGCTGCGAAACTTCTTGTATGGAGTCACCCATGGCAGCTACCTGGAGACCAGTACTCTCAATCTGGAAGACCTCCAACATCGAGCAGCTCCGACAACGTCGCTACGGTCTAGGACATCATCTTCACCGCAGTCGCCAAGGCGCGGGTTGATGGTATGGACCGGACGTGAAAGACCGATATTTTCTTCTTGGGCCCCAGCCTGAAAGTAAACGCTGATGGTTACATCGACCAACTCGAGAGGAGAATATCCTGCCCTCATGTCGTCGCCTGTACCGTCCTGGAACATTCGTACTGGGCGCAGTTTGGCGACGGGTGGGGGCATTTTATACTTCCTCGGTCCGGTGTACAAGTCTCACTCTGTTGAAACCTGTGAACTCTTGTGAAGTTTGAGCAAGCTCGTCAAGCCAACATGGTAAAACCTGTCAAGTGGAGAAGAGGTTGTCTAGATGGGTCGACATGTCGATGGGAAATAGCGAAATTGCAAAATGCCCCCTCCGCCGTCGCCGAACAGCGCCTTCGTACTGTTACAGGATTGGGCGCCAGCACGTGGAATCGAAGGGCGTTGGAAAACTCTCGCCCACTTGAAATGGAAGGCCGTTGAGAACCTGAAGATGACGGACTATCCAGGTGGTCATTTGACCTAAGCCTCCTCGATTACCGGGTCCAGGAGCTCAAGAGGGTGGTTTAGTGGCGGAGAAATCAACGATCTCGCTGAACTCAGGCACGAATCACGGTCGCGTGGCAGAATCTCTCGATGGCGCTCGTCCAGAAGGCTGTGGAGGAGTATCATGATAGTGAACAATACGCTGCTGAGTGTGGTAAGTACAATATGGTATGGTGGTGGAAATGTACAATCAGAATTTAATAAAGTGTAACTCATATGGCGTTGAAAAACGAGGAAGAAAAGTGTTTTTTTTGCCCCCCCCTGTATATAATTCGTTAAGTTTGTCTGCTGGTGTGTGTATCTATATATGTGTGTCTGACATGCTCATAAGTACAGAGAGTGTTACTAGACTCATAAAGGCTTCATTTGAAATGACTCAAAGTCATTAGGCAATCTGACCGACAAATGCAACAGCGTGGATCCTCACTCGAGGAATATTCATTATTCAAACTTAGACAATTTCGGGAAGTATATTGGAGACGAGCGATCGATCCCGCTGTGAATATTGTGAACTGCTCCGCGATCGCAAATATGGCTACGTACCTAAAAGTGTGATCCAGAAGCGGCAGTAAGGCCGCGTTTATACTTTGCGGCAGCGTAGCGTAGCGCTTCGCTAGCGTACGCCAGCGGCAGTGTCGGGGAAAGGATAGATATCGATCTAGCGTTCCCAGCGTCACCAGCGTACGCTAGCGTAACGCTAGCGTAGCGAGGGCACGGGATGTATAGCTATCGATCTAGCGCTCCCAGCGTTTCACGAGCGTTTCACTAGCGTTTCGCTAGCGCTTGCGGCAGGGAGTAGAGACTATGGGATAGTAGGAGAGTATTCTGTACTCTCCTACTCTTCTATACTCTCTAGCGCCGCCGAGTATTTTGTACTCTCCTACTCTTCTATACTCTCTAGCGCTGCCGAGTATTTTGTACTCTCCTACTCTTCTATACTCTCTAGCCCGCCGCTGCAAACGCTAGTGAAACGCTGGAAGCGCTACGCTGCCGCAAAGTATAAACGCAGCCTAACCTATTTAGCAAGCTTGGCTGGCCCACTTGACTTTTTTTGACCTCAGAAATGTTTCACTTTTGTTTATGTTTCTCGCATCACTACGCCCTTCTGCTCGTTTGATCCTATGATGTACTGGCGCAATTTTCTTCTTAATCTTGAATTCGTAGGAAGTTACAGTTCTGTGCCAAAGAGTTTCATACTTGAACTTCTAACAGTTGGGTCCAACTTCTCTCCTCGTAAAACCTCGGCATTGTTGTTACGTTTGATGATTCTTTTCGTGTGCTCGACGAGGTTTTGGTAGAGAAAACTGTTTATTAGCGGTCCTGAACGTTTCAACTAGATCGTCTTCATCAGAGGCCTAAATGGCAATGGTTTGGGAGATTGCTGCTCGTCTTCACGTCGAAGGGCCTAGAGAATATCCCCTTCGCTACACGTTTCTGACAGACTGTTGAGAAAACCACCCGAAAATCCCTAATGAGAGGAAAGACTCACCCGGTCTTTCAGTCTTCTGTGCGTTACCTGTCCACAAGGTTCAAGTGGAGATTGCGCCAAAAGTGGTATGATATATCAAATTGAATGTTTGACATGTAATGTAACTTACATAGGGGAGACTGGAAGACCGTTAACTGTACGCATCAAAGAACATTTGCCTGGCTAAAAGCGTGTTATATTATGACATCACCCTCGGCAAGCGATTTTGCTCGGAGAGCACAGCAGGAACAGCGACTTTTGGTGTGAAGTGGTGGCAACTATACGCGATGGTACGATACTTACATGCGACGACTTGAGTTTTTTTCTGCCAAGAAGGCGGCTAAGAAGCATTTCTGGATTTCTGCAAGAAAATCCTGAATGAACAACCTGCGATGAGGTGCTCTATTCCATAACCGATGACCTGTTGGCCATTTGTGTTCGCACTGTGAAGCTATCGACGTGAGCGGTGGGACGTGCCATTTCTGACTATTATCCACAATATATATACAAGATTGGCACAGTAAGTCCCACTCATTGTACTAACAACTAACTGAGCGGCTACTTCCGCTCTCGCTGTGGTGGACTGGGTGAGTCTTTCCCTCATTCGGGATTTTCGGGGTTTTCTCAGTAGTCTGTCAGAAACGTTAGGGAAGAGGAGATCTTTGGCGGTGTAGAGAGAGCAATTTGAATCATGAGCCACGTTTAGGCCTCTGATGAAGACGATCTAGTCAGGCCATAATAAAGCTTCACCTACCAACCTCGTGGGCACAGAAGAATTTATCTAACAGTTGGATTCTGATTTGCTTTCTTGTACCTTGAATACAGTACACAGGAGGTACATACACACACCTTTCTGTAAATAATTGGGCAGAGAACTCTGGGAATTTTTGGACTAGACAAATTTCAGTGGGTGCCATCGTCTGTGGTGGATAAGTTCCATGGTTTTCAGTCCAACCGCTAGTTAAAAACACATTTTATTTTCAGTTAATTTTCATAGCAGTCAATATTTGTAATACATTTCCACCATTTCTCTTAAAAAGTTATACACTTTCGCAGTCGACAGTACAACGAAATCAGTACATTCAAACAGTCAGTCACCAAACAAGTGACATATAGAATCTACATCAAAAGCAGGATGCTTTTTGAGTATGAAATCTAAACGAACATATTTGTGTTTTACCGTACTGAAAATTCAGAAGTTTCACTGAGACAAACTGTTACAAGGCTGCCAATAAGTCGTAGCATAAAACTGAGACGTACACATTATAGGACAAGAAGTGAAGCAAGTTCTCTGTCGTTATAGGCACAGTTCGCGAGGCCGGTATTGCGGGAAAGCGGAGCTGCGAATAGCACAAAAACTTGTAAATAGTCTGATAGTTCATTCCAGTAAAAGACAGTCAGAGAATGCTTATAGATCAGAGATATCATACTCGCACACAGCTCGTAGCTTTCCGTGCGGGTCGGCATGCTTTGGCCTTACGGGTGTCATTGGCCTAGATTAGCCAGCTTCTAGCGGAGTTCTTGCCGTTTTTCACATTTTGAAAGTAGCGCAGCCTCAAAAATCGCCTTCCGGATCGTCCGACAAATTTGAGAGGTCATATGAGCTCTTATTTTTTGCGAAATTGCCTTAGATACTTCGAACAAAACTGGTCTCATGATCAGGACAAGCAAGTGAAGCACAGTTTTGCTGTCTGTTATGAAATGACGTCAGATAACATGGTAATGACATGCATTGCCGAGAAGTGACCCAAGGGCCCAGTATGACGATAAAGTGCCACTTTTGTGCTCAGAACAAAGTGCTCAGAACAAAACAACAGTGTAACATTGCTCAGTAACAACGTTCAACAACAAGATCATTTCCACTGCTTCAATTCTACTGACTGGACAGCGCCACTGCTGGCCGCAGAGAAGTACGAACAATATCATGTTTACAGATTCCGTTGACGGCGCTCATTTTCGGGGGACACGCCACTTCTGAAGCATCCCATTAGACTTTATAAGCAGAAATGACACCAAAATTGGGACTTACGACATCGTCGAACTAGCTTTCGCTCGGATTCGATCTCTAAAAGTACGAGATTCTTCGGGCAATATTGTCGTTTCCCTACCCTTCGAGATGGCGAAAAAAAGTTGACATGCTGCTGGAGTTGTTCTTTCGTTTTCGCTAAGGCTTTGACCTAAAAACAAAAGGTAGACATTGCGAGGAAACAGACCATTCGTCTGAATCTGCTGAAGTGAGGGATTCATAGGAAAATTATCTGTAGTTCTGTTCTAAATTACGGACGAGTTTAGC